ACCTCTTGTACAAGTCTTGATGGGTTAGGGGAATACTGGCTATCCACGCCATGTGCGGAGACAGGAAAGAACACGATAGAAAGCGATGTGCCGGTTTAGCCAGGTGCCCTTGCCAGGAGATCATGGTAAGGAGTCGAAATCACTATTTCCGCTCGTGGTCCCTGCAACTTGACCTCACAAGTCAATGGTCTAGCCTAGATACCGCGCGCAGCTCTCAAAGGAGTTATTTTTTTGCTTTTCTTGCTTGAAGTCCAGCACTTGCTAACACTTGCAGTGTTGGTCTTTTCTCTTCCCATGATAGAGAAGACGCGTTTGCGTAAAGATCACTTTCTGAAAACTCCACCTTAGAAGTGACAAAGCAGAACGCGCAGCTTAGAAGACGGGAGACAGGAGACATATTTTCCAGTTGGTTGCTCTGTTATACTAACTTATAGGTACACTGCGCTGCTGCTTCTAGAACTTCGAGTTCTGGGTCTGTAGGTCTAGATCAAGTCGCGCATAGATTCTACAACGTGTCACTGCTGCAGTACTTGCGCTAGTTTGCGATACTGTCATTGCCGCTCTGATGCCTTCAGCCGGGAAACTTGCACGCTTGGCCTGTGTGCTATGCGTAATCGTCCTGTGTAGTAGTGTGGTTGAAGTGGATGCCGCCACACAACCACCAGCAACAGCAGTAGACGTAACCGTAGTGGGCGACAAGTCGGAGTTAGTCGGTCCTCACAGGGCGGCTGTGAAGGAAATCTGGAAATCCTATCTTGATCCCGAAGTATCAATACACTTTTTACCCTCCCCAGCAGCAGGAGATGGGGATAACGAATCCGCCGGGGGAAAGGCTGCCCGGGCTGAGGCCAAGAGGCGAATGTATTATGCGCTTCGGTTCATCAGAAAATGGCGTTCACTTTCCCGCAGAGGTGATGCTGCAGATGCTTGGGAAGGCGGTGACAAGGAGCAAGAGAACCACAGAAACAGGTATAGACGAGGATCCAAGGACGATGGTGGAATATTCGCACAGTACTGGCCGGGAAAGGAGGGACCGGGAGTTCTTCACCATGGCACTGATGGCAATGCTCAAGACAACCTGGGAGATAGCTCCTTCACAGGTACGTGTGTACTCGTCGTGTACGGCATGGTTTGCCGCTGTGTTCGCATGCATCCCTGCTAACAACTAGGCCAGGGTTGGGATTTCATTGCAAGAAAGAGTCTAGCTCTACCAACATAGCCGGCAAAGTACAGTATTGTCTACTAGTACACTAGTACAGCCAGTAGTGCTTGATGGACGTGCAGTAGCATACGTACAGTAGTGGTGCTTGATGGACGTGCAGTAGCATACGTACAGTAGTGGTGCTTGATGGACGTGCAGTAGCATACGTACAGTAGTGGTGCTTGATGGACGTGCAGTAGCATACGTACAGTAGTGGTGCTTGATGGACGTGCAGTAGCATACGTACAGTAGTGGTGCTTGATGGACGTGCAGTAGCATACGTACAGTAGTGGTGCTTGATGGACGTGCAGTAGCATACGTACAGTAGTGGTGCTTGATGGACGTGCAGTAGCATACGTACAGTAGTGGTGCTTGATGGACGTGCAGTAGCATACGTACAGTAGTGGTGCTTGATGGACGTGCAGTAGCATACGTACAGTAGTGGTGCTTGATGGACGTGCAGTAGCATACGTACAGTAGTGGTGCTTGATGGACGTGCAGTAGCATACGTACAGTAGTGGTGCTTGATGGACGTGCAGTAGCATACGTACAGTAGTGGTGCTTGATGGACGTGCAGTAGCATACGTACAGTAGTGGTGCTTGATGGACGTGCAGTAGCATACGTACAGTAGTGGTGCTTGATGGACGTGCAGTAGCATACGTACAGTAGTGGTGCTTGATGGACGTGCAGTAGCATACGTACAGTAGTGGTGCTTGATGGACGTGCAGTAGCATACGTACAGTAGTGGTGCTTGATGGACGTGCAGTAGCATACGTACAGTAGTGGTGCTTGATGGACGTGCAGTAGCATACGTACAGTAGTGGTGCTTGATGGACGTGCAGTAGCATACGTACAGTAGTGGTGCTTGATGGACGTGCAGTAGCATACGTACAGTAGTGGTGCTTGATGGACGTGCAGTAGCATACGTACAGTAGTGGTGCTTGATGGACGTGCAGTAGCATACGTACAGTAGTGGTGCTTGATGGACGTGCAGTAGCATACGTACAGTAGTGGTGCTTGATGGACGTGCAGTAGCATACGTACAGTAGTGGTGCTTGATGGACGTGCAGTAGCATACGTACAGTAGTGGTGCTTGATGGACGTGCAGTAGCATACGTACAGTAGTGGTGCTTGATGGACGTGCAGTAGCATACGTACAGTAGTGGTGCTTGATGGACGTGCAGTAGCATACGTACAGTAGTGGTGCTTGATGGACGTGCAGTAGCATACGTACAGTAGTGGTGCTTGATGGACGTGCAGTAGCATACGTACAGTAGTGGTGCTTGATGGACGTGCAGTAGCATACGTACAGTAGTGGTGCTTGATGGACGTGCAGTAGCATACGTACAGTAGTGGTGCTTGATGGACGTGCAGTAGCATACGTACAGTAGTGGTGCTTGATGGACGTGCAGTAGCATACGTACAGTAGTGGTGCTTGATGGACGTGCAGTAGCATACGTACAGTAGTGGTGCTTGATGGACGTGCAGTAGCATACGTACAGTAGTGGTGCTTGATGGACGTGCAGTAGCATACGTACAGTAGTGGTGCTTGATGGACGTGCAGTAGCATACGTACAGTAGTGGTGCTTGATGGACGTGCAGTAGCATACGTACAGTAGTGGTGCTTGATGGACGTGCAGTAGCATACGTACAGTAGTGGTGCTTGATGGACGTGCAGTAGCATACGTACAGTAGTGGTGCTTGATGGACGTGCAGTAGCATACGTACAGTAGTGGTGCTTGATGGACGTGCAGTAGCATACGTACAGTAGTGGTGCTTGATGGACGTGCAGTAGCATACGTACAGTAGTGGTGCTTGATGGACGTGCAGTAGCATACGTACAGTAGTGGTGCTTGATGGACGTGCAGTAGCATACGTACAGTAGTGGTGCTTGATGGACGTGCAGTAGCATACGTACAGTAGTGGTGCTTGATGGACGTGCAGTAGCATACGTACAGTAGTGGTGCTTGATGGACGTGCAGTAGCATACGTACAGTAGTGGTGCTTGATGGACGTGCAGTAGCATACGTACAGTAGTGGTGCTTGATGGACGTGCAGTAGCATACGTACAGTAGTGGTGCTTGATGGACGTGCAGTAGCATACGTACAGTAGTGGTGCTTGATGGACGTGCAGTAGCATACGTACAGTAGTGGTGCTTGATGGACGTGCAGTAGCATACGTACAGTAGTGGTGCTTGATGGACGTGCAGTAGCATACGTACAGTAGTGGTGCTTGATGGACGTGCAGTAGCATACGTACAGTAGTGGTGCTTGATGGACGTGCAGTAGCATACGTACAGTAGTGGTGCTTGATGGACGTGCAGTAGCATACGTACAGTAGTGGTGCTTGATGGACGTGCAGTAGCATACGTACAGTAGTGGTGCTTGATGGACGTGCAGTAGCATACGTACAGTAGTGGTGCTTGATGGACGTGCAGTAGCATACGTACAGTAGTGGTGCTTGATGGACGTGCAGTAGCATACGTACAGTAGTGGTGCTTGATGGACGTGCAGTAGCATACGTACAGTAGTGGTGCTTGATGGACGTGCAGTAGCATACGTACAGTAGTGGTGCTTGATGGACGTGCAGTAGCATACGTACAGTAGTGGTGCTTGATGGACGTGCAGTAGCATACGTACAGTAGTGGTGCTTGATGGACGTGCAGTAGCATACGTACAGTAGTGGTGCTTGATGGACGTGCAGTAGCATACGTACAGTAGTGGTGCTTGATGGACGTGCAGTAGCATACGTACAGTAGTGGTGCTTGATGGACGTGCAGTAGCATACGTACAGTAGTGGTGCTTGATGGACGTGCAGTAGCATACGTACAGTAGTGGTGCTTGATGGACGTGCAGTAGCATACGTACAGTAGTGGTGCTTGATGGACGTGCAGTAGCATACGTACAGTAGTGGTGCTTGATGGACGTGCAGTAGCATACGTACAGTAGTGGTGCTTGATGGACGTGCAGTAGCATACGTACAGTAGTGGTGCTTGATGGACGTGCAGTAGCATACGTACAGTAGTGGTGCTTGATGGACGTGCAGTAGCATACGTACAGTAGTGGTGCTTGATGGACGTGCAGTAGCATACGTACAGTAGTGGTGCTTGATGGACGTGCAGTAGCATACGTACAGTAGTGGTGCTTGATGGACGTGCAGTAGCATACGTACAGTAGTGGTGCTTGATGGACGTGCAGTAGCATACGTACAGTAGTGGTGCTTGATGGACGTGCAGTAGCATACGTACAGTAGTGGTGCTTGATGGACGTGCAGTAGCATACGTACAGTAGTGGTGCTTGATGGACGTGCAGTAGCATACGTACAGTAGTGGTGCTTGATGGACGTGCAGTAGCATACGTACAGTAGTGGTGCTTGATGGACGTGCAGTAGCATACGTACAGTAGTGGTGCTTGATGGACGTGCAGTAGCATACGTACATGTAGCAGTAAAGCAAGCCTTTTGGCGAAACATGGAGACAGCGCCCACAAATTCCGAAACCAACTGCCTACAACTTCAATTGTCTACCACGTTCTGCAGTAGGCCATATGAATATGATAGGATATTGCTGTGCAATGCTCTGCCCTGGCATGTGTTCTTGTCATGCAGATCGACCCTACACCGACACATCAAGTACAGGTAGTGAAACACCAGACAGTGTGAATGGAAACGAAGGAGTCAATCCAGGAGACAGCAGTAATGGCGGGGAAGGTGGCGGAGGAGGAGGTGGTGGTGCTGGAGGCGGTGGTGGTGGTGGCGGCGGAGGAGGAGGCGGCGGCGGTGGTGGCGGTGGTGGCGGAGGAGGTACAAACGTAACTCCTACTCCCATAGTCAATTGTACCGTTGAACTAGTTTGCAGAACACAAGATCTCCTATCAGCTGAGTCACTTGAGCTCTACAATCAACTGGCTACGGTTGTGCAGGCTACAGCTGAAATTGAACTGGAACTCTTCCGTACTCGTACCAATAATCAAGAGGGTACACTGTGTGAAGTCAATCAGGGCACACGTAATGATGGGAGAGATGTGACTGTATCCTTCAATGGCATGCAAACTGCACAAATATCCGCCAACTCCTCCATGCTGCCCGTTGGCTTTCTCAGTGCACTCTATAAATCGGAAGACTTTGATGGATTTGGCAGACTGCGTATCTCCCTGGATCTGATTAGCGGTACGGCTCAACTCATCGCCCTTCAACCACCCAGTGCAGTACTGTTTCTGGACTTCCCACCCACTGAACAAGTGAGTAATTCATATCGCGTACGAATGCAACATGCACATGAATGTCCCTACATACATGTACATGGTATTAAAATAATCCAATACTAGTACAGTACTTGCACCAGATATATTGGATAATCTGATAGTTGTCAGCTGACGAGCTGAGAGATGGGCGCCATTAGCAGAAGTTGGAAGAATAGGAGTTAAAACAATTCAGATTAGAATAGCTACTTTTATTGATGACTATCAGGACGACATCCAGGAGCGATCAAAGAATACACGACTGACGTTAGGAGAAGTCTAAAAAAAAACTCCCCTAGCATAATAGGAGAAGTCTAAAAAAACTCCCCTAGCATAATGAGGGTCAGAACCGGGTTCAATACCCGATATGGTTCAGATGGTCCCAACGGACCGGGGCTCTACCAACCGTGAATGGTTGTAGTAAGGTCAATGTTTCCGAACACGTGTCCTCCACCTTGTTTCATGCTGTCAAACCAACAACATGTACATGACTGCACAATCAGTAATGTACATACATATACATGTACATGTACATGTATAATGTATGTGTCCCATGACCGATATGGCAATATAAAAGGAAGATGCGATGAATCATATCAATCTACTACTGTAGTACATGATTGTATAGTGTATACAATCATGTACAATGTACATGTATACCGCCTACCGGTAGCCTATATAATATACATGTACATGTATGATTATGGTGTTGTTATTGTCCTTCCTCCATGATTTGCGTTAGATCTGTGACGAATTCACCATTTGCAGAGACCCGCCTCTCACCATACCACCTCCTAACACCCAGCCGCCACGTCCATTTGTTGCCATGCCGACCAGTGACAATCTCCAAGCAGCCATCTCAAGGAATCTCTGTAATCGTGCGGCATGTGAAGTCAATGGACCCACAGTATGTGTGTGAAAAGCCAGGCCTCTACTCGCAGCCAAAACCCTGATAGCCTTTATGATAACACCAGGCGTGCCCAAACTCTACAAGTCCTGATTTTCAATGTTAGTCCACACTGATTAGTGATAGTGTGTTGATTTCTTGATTCCACTCTTCGTCACAATAGGATTTTCACCTCGTTTTGTTGATTTTCCACTAGATCTTACACTACACTGAACAACTACAGTTACGTCATGATCTCAAATAAGCGCATGTGCCATGAACTAACCAATAGGCAATACCTATCATCTAACCCAGACTGCCAGAGGCCCTATTATGAATTCACAGCTGAACGGATATACTATGTAGCTATAATCTCTATACACAAGTTGATTGACAAATCAAGACTCAAGTTTACACGTCGTATTATCCTCAAATCACAATTGAATGCCGAGGACAGTACTATGAGACGGACAGACCTTTTTCTTACCACCGTTCTATTTGATGTGTGCGCGGAAAGCAGAGTGCCATCCCTTGGGGATTGGAGCCGCACCAACACTGCAACAGCCGACACCAGGGGACAGGTCACATGTGAACCCATCTTCATCACATGTACAATGACTATAGTTGTAGCTGCTTGTTCTCGGGCGGTAGCTCTGATTCCGTGGGAGGCTGTTGTGCAGATAAACACTATCAACTGGTAGATAATAATAGCATTTAATACCCAGTATATTGGTGCCAGCATCTGAGGTCGAGTAAAAACATTCGAGGACTTACTGATACATGTACATGTACATGTTATTATTTTTGAAATGTTCACGTGATGCCCTTTCTGCTGGACTTGAAATGTTCAGGTGATGCCCTTTCTGCTGGACTTGAAATGTTCAGGTGATGCCCTTTCTGCTGGACTTGAAATGTTCAGGTGATGCCCTTTCTGGACTTGAAAGTTGCATGCGTACATGTACATGTACATGACATTGTATGTGCACCTCTTTGACCGGCCCCGCTCGTTCCCCATTCTTCATTGATTCCTTCTGAAGTTCTGGCTAATGCGAAGTCTAGCCAAGGCTTGTTTGGCGATGCCAAAAGCGCCAGTAAAGCTATATTTTACAATAATAATTGAATGAAAGCGGATACAATGTTACATGCGGCCCGGGGGGAGGGGGTGTATCCCTCATGAGTCATGTACTACTGCTCTCCAAACACCTAAAATAACAGTAAACAGTAAACAGTAAACACACCCACTGTGACTAGCCAGTCGCTAAAACTAACATACACTGTACATGTCATGTAAGAATCGAATAGACAGAAACGACGTCACAGAAGTGACATCCGCGTGACCGTGTGTCCGTAATCCGAATTCGTATCACTATCAGGCCTGGCAAACACTCAGTGCTTTCATACATGTATCTGTCGACTCCTCCTTGTAATGTTGCTCGTATCTGAACTCAACTGTGCACTGCACGCGTAGATCTACATGACATGTACATGTGCAGACCCGGCCGGGTTCACTAGGAAAGGACTACGAGGATGCCCTCGAAGAACAGCTGATGCTGTCTGTCTTTTATGTTCCCACATAATCATTGTACTCTACTCAGTAAAACAGAGAGGTTCCATGATCCAGGCTGTCCAAGAGAGTGCTCAATACCGAGTAGTAGAGCTGGTTCAAACAATGGGAGGACAGAGGAAGTGTTTTTACTCAGAGTTTCACGCACTAAGCGATCATCAGAAAACAGTAATAATTACTGTTTTCTGATAGTGCGTGAAACTCTGAGTAAAAACACTTCCTCTGTCCTCCCATTGTTTGTACTCTACTCAGTACATGTATGATTGTACATGTATATGGATCTGATAGTAATAGTGCGGCAGACGACGTGTCGTTTGGTGAACAGAGGTGTAGAGTGCAGCACACCTTTTATTTGGGGTTTTTATTTGTTGTAAATGTAGTAACACTATACAGAGAGTGTCTGTATGTTTGTGTCTGTACCAAACGCAGGTAATAGCAGCAGTGACCTGTTTGTACTCGTTTGTAATGGCTGTGCTCGCCGTGACCTACTGACACAGTACTGTATTAATTTAACATGGATATGACCACGGCACGTACAACGTACAGCGTACAGGTACATGTACATGTAATGGCCACCTGTTAACTCCGAGGTAACTTAAAACGTATCGGCAGGACTGAGTGATATACAACTACTGCATGTACATGTAGATGTGCCCGTAGAAAACGTCCAGAAAACCTCAATTGCCCCTAAGGTGAATGTGCTAATCATCACTATCCTGACTATCCTGTGAGTGATAATGCGTGATGATTATTGATGAACGCATTAAACAATCATGTACTTTCATTACTAGTACAGTTATGTACATGTACATGACTGTATAATTATTGTTTAGTTACTATCCATAGGCAGGTTGTCCCTCAGAGGAGCTCCACAACTTCATCAAGCCCACCCAATATCGACAACATTCTCCAGATACAGTAGCGAGTTCAGTAGCATTGTTCTAATGTTAGCTGGGGAGGGAATGTTGGAGATGTACATGTACATATACATGTACATGTACCATGTTCTGAAAACCTCAATAATATTATATGGATAAGGAGATTCAAGTATAATGAAAATGTAGAAATTCATTTAATAGGCGTAATGTGATGATTACATTTCAAGCTCTGTATCAAGACTCGAGTTTTAGACGAGAAGGTGTCGATAAAATTATAAAGTGTACTCAACTCTCAACTCTGCTTTGCATGAACTCATGAACAAGTGAAATGACGTTTAATTAATAGGGCTGGCAATGTAACGTTCAAGACTAGAGTCACTAATTTATGAAAGCGGTGTGATCACAATGTTCATTTTACTGTTTGCATGGCTGTGCATTGATGAACATCCGAGTCATCGTTCTAATCATGTCTAATGATGAGTGGTAAGAATGTCCGAATTCAGGTTGATACGTTTCCATAATCTGAAAGTCATTGCCTGGCCTTTTGCTTTTAGAGAAATCGCAGCGTTGTGGGGCGTTCACTGGGAAAGATCAATGTGAACGCATCGCCGTCACTGGGCTTTGTGGATTGCAATCCGAATATGCTCACATCATCGCTCACTGAGTCGTTGCCCATGTCGTTTTCTCCAGTCATCACCAGCCATTGACCACTTTCATGACACAAGTGAAATCCCTGAGCACACGAAGTGGCATAGACCTTCCACAAGCAGCTGGCAGAACTGCCCTTCAGGAAGCTGAAATCAGACTCTGGCGTGAGTTTGGAAGATTCTTTCCGCAGCTGGTCAGCGTGCTGCTTCTTCTTCAATGCTGCTCGTTTACCTGCACGTCGTCTTGACAGTGCACAGACGGTTACGTTGTTCGTGGTACTGTTATAGTATGTTGTACGTTGGCCTTCCTTGGATCGTTTTGCCAGGGACGATGCTGCAGAGTTTGCCTTCGCCTGAGCGTCGTCCAGCGACCGCTTAGGCACTGAATGAATCGTCTCAACGTTTACTTTTCCGTTCTTGACACCGAGAAACTGCACGGGATGGGAGTCACTGGTTGTGAGATGCTGCTGCTTTGTGGACATAGGCGATGTGCTACATGGCACCATTGCAGCGTTTGGTCTTGAAGCGTGATTGCCCATCTCCATACACACCCAGTCAGCTGTCAAGAGGGAGTCTCCGCCCAGCAGATGAACAGTGGTGTCACATGCTCTGTCCCCTCGAACTACTGTACTATCAGTATGGCCACCACGCACTTCACCATGCTTTGTAGTAGTGGTCCACCGCGCACGTTCATTGTCACCATCGGAGTTGACACGTGGCTGTAGAGCATCATCACCAACGGTAGAACCCTGTACACCATGGCTGTGCGGCTTCTCCTCGTCAGTCGAGTACTGTCTGGCAGTCAACACCCGTCTGATTCCGGTCTCATCATATCTCTGCAGTCTCAGGATACCTTGCACTGAACCATAGCTAGTGAGCTTGCGCTGGCTGGCAGCTTCAGCCAGTTTGCGATGTAGAGACGTGGCGGCACCCATCACAACGCACCAAAGTGACTTCAACATATCGGTTAGAAGATCCGCTTTTACAGGGTCCTGGACGTGGCAGCTGGACTCGACGCCACGCGAACGCTCACTCTCAACTCCTAACAAGGAATAGAGGTAGTGGATGGCTCTGTAGCCCATGCAAATGTAGAATAGTATTATCTTGAGCTGATCAATTCGCATCGACAGCTTATACTGCAAGAAAGTTAGGCGCGCAAAGTGGTTCAGCAGAGCAAATGACACGAAAAGGTAGAACTGCACTGTCGTTAGAGCTCGCAAGATTGATGTTGCTCCGACAAACACACGACAAAGTAACTCAGAAAGGTTAGTGTGAATGGTTAATGAGCGCTGGGAGCGGGGCTGTGTGACGCTTTCTGCAGCCGCACACGCTGCCTTCACACCCCAACTCAGCAGGAGCCCGAGGCCCAGGGCCAGGGACTAGGTCAGGGAGTTTACTTGCACGTGACAGCTCGGGAATGTCTTGACAGGAAGACAAGTCGACTCACAAAATCCCCACTTGATCTTGAGTATTACCACTAGTACCAGTGAGTTCTTACTTCTTAGCACTCTACTCCTGGCGTCCTGCATTCCAGCCTTCTTCCTGTTACTATTAGTACGCAGTACAATGTGACGTCAGTCTGTATCATACGAGTGCTGTGCTTCCTCACTGTCCTGTGACGTGAGCTCATATCAGTGCCATTCAGTGGCTTTCGAGGAAGTCCACAATGACACCATGTACCAGCTGGGTATGTGCGTGGGTGTGCCTAGGCTAGGGACTACTACTAGTACTAGTACTAGTATTCACAGCAAGTGCAATGACGTCATGTGCATGTACAATGTACATGTACATGTGCCTCGATATCATTTTGGTCGGTGTGCCCAATTATTTCCCCGTGATATAATATTAATAATTATATCCGCTTTGGAGTCACGTGGCCCTATTTCCGGCTGCTATTTTCCACACTGTAATGTTATACTGTTCAGATTCATCATTAATATTTATATTGGGCAAGACGTTTGGTTTGCGATGTAAAATGCTAAAAACACAACAACAACAACAACAACAACAACAACAACAACAACAACAACAACAACAACAACAACAACAACAACAACAACAACAACAACAACAACAACAACAACAACAACAACAACAACAACAACAACAACACTAAGGCGAACAAGCATTATTGTATTCGTGGTGGGCTGCGGATGCGAAGGCTATGCAATGTACAATATACATGTAGTTTGTGTGTTTCTAACATACATGTACATGTAGTTACCGGATGTAAAATTGAATATGTCGTACTCCTTCATCTAATGTCGGTCGTTCTGCACGCCTCGTGAAACTCGGTGTTGCGAACACAACTACATTTTGTGCATGTACATTGTACTTAGTCTCATGTCCATTGTTGCTAAAACACCACGAAATATGTCCATCAT